CGAATAGATCAAATCATAACTTGGGAAGAAACAGGAAACAGGAAACGCGTGCAAGAAATACAATTGTAAATAAAACGATTGCAAAGGAGGAAAAAGTAAGAGATAAAAAGCAAGAAAAAGGAAGCAAAGAGCATATTTTGTAGAATAGGCTTAATCCAGTAGAAAAATAAGCAAGTGTGCTACCCGATTTACATTGGAACTGCTCTTAATTCTCGCATTCTGTGTGTATGAGCCATTATCCCCCTCCACATGCCATAGCGTGCTGCAAGTGAAAGCGGCCGCGAATTGGCATCACTGTCTTTCCTTTCATTGACCGTTGTATGAGAATACGGATCCATGTGAGTCTGGTGCCAGTCAGGAGACAAAAAGACGGTTTTCATTGATTAAGAAATTGTAATTCGATATCAACAGTTTAAAAACACTTCTAATATCTTTTAGGTAAGCATCTAGTTATATTTTAATAATAATATACATATTTGATTGTCTCACGTAAAAAAGTCTAAGAACAAAAACGTTGCTCTGTTCTGTGAAATGAGATCCTTGATGATCCAGATAGCCAAGAAGATAGAGACAGATTTTAAGCAGAGCATTCTATCAATTTGATAGCGGAAAAACAAAATTTTACACAGAGTAATATCTGTAGAGTCTGAAATATCTGACGATGTTGATAAAAATATAACAAAATTTATTGATATATACTATGTCAGTAGACTGGCAGTGGAGTGAATCTCTGGACAAGAGATTTGTTTCTGTTACTACATGAGGATTGCACTAGAACTAAACTGAATTGAACTAGTGCAATCCAGAACTGATGAATGTAAGCATACAGACAAAGAATAAAAAACGTTTGAATGCAAGATAAAAATGGCGTCCCATATTGTTTACATGAAAGTATTAGATTCATGTAATGAATGCAATTTCATTAAAAATTTCATTAAAAGAAGAGAAAAGATTTCATTAAAAAATTCTTGATTAAAGATAATGATGACACAAAATGTTTTTATATGTAGGCTTGCTATTATTTATATATATTTATCATTTTATTACTTATAAATTCTCAGATAATTATTTAGAAGACTCCTCTCACCTTCAATTTTAATAAAATTATGCTCATTTGTCGCATTTTTGCATGAAAAAAATCTGGCAGTAAAATGTCGCCCGCAAATTGAGATATTAAGCGTTAAAATTGATGACATTGTCATTAGGAAATCTGACACCGACTTAATCAAGCGCTGTGTACACATATTTTAGTCTGTATTTATTTAGAATCGTTACTTCACCTCCGATTTTAATGAAATTAGATGCATTTTTATTCAAAATGAAAGCTGTTCTGTTCTTGCTATGCGCGAAAAATTGTAAACCTTTAAACGATGAAAGAAAGATGAATTTAAATATTAATAAACAAACATTAATATATCGCTATAGAAGTAGATAGTTAGTAAAAAACTTACGCATACGTAGCCCTAAAGCATGAAAATGTGATCGCAGTACATACTTTCATCGTGATATTTCGCTGACAGATTTCCTAACCTCAATAGTCGTCAACGCTTAATATCTCGATTCGCAGGACTAAGTACAACATTTTACTGCCGATTTGTTCGTTTCATACAAAAACGTGCCAAATGAGTATAATTTCATTGAAGATGAAGGGTGTCTTTTAAATAATTACCAATTCTCGTACTATTTGTACAAGGTTTGTTTTCTGTGGCTGAACTAGTGTACACTAGTGCTTGTACTGCTTGCACTGATTCCAGATCTAGTGCAGACAGTACAGTGAACTCGTGCACTGAGTTCTGTTGAACAAAAAACACCGTCGTTGACGTCATTTTGGGAACAGAAAACATTTTAGTGTGCACTTTTTGAACTAGTGTAACTAAAGTGGAGGAATAGAAAACAAATCTAAGATTTGCAACTCCTGCTCTCCGTTTCTATTGCCAATCTACTGTTCGATCATATCGCATATGAACGAAATTCTGTTGACAGAATAAAAGCAAAACGCGGCCACAATTGATATCAGTTGCCGACATTTCTGATCTGATGCCAGTTTGCCGACATTTTGCTAACAGCATTGTACTTACTGGATATCAACAGGAGATCGATCATACATTTTTTCCCTACCGCTAAACGAAAGTTTCCATGCAGATTCTGAATGATATTTCATTTTCGTACGACAAATTTTTCAAGTCTGTCGATTGGCTGTAGGATAGAGAGATCCGAGGATCTCTCTGTTCTGCACACATTTGTCATACGACAAAAATTTACGAAATAGCACCTTCCACGAGATCTGACAAGGGATCATCTCTGTTTATACAACAAGTTAGTGAAAATTTTTGATATCAATAAAAGTTGACAGATGTCACAGGTTCCAAGAAATTTAGTAATTACAGTGCATGGTAAAAGTTGTACAACGACTAATATCTTTAAAAACATTGATTTATCTCAAAAATATTTGAAACAAAAGTAATAAGGTTTTAAAAAATTATCAGATGATATTAATTTGATCTTAGAATAACCTTGGAAAATACTTTCAAAGTTAACACAATCTTAAACGGAACAAAAATCTTAAACAGAACTTTCTATTTTTCAAAGCTTCTTTATATGCTGACGTTGAGACATTTCCAGAACATTGGTTACAAATCTTTTCTTCGTAAGAATTTTCCACTACTGTATCGCTGGCATTATCTAAGGTGTACCGCGTAGAGATTGCACGATTGGATTTACCTTGTGTGTAAAGTAATAATAATTTAAAGTAGAGTTAAAAAAAAAAAGAAAGGAAGCAGAAGATACAAGAAGGACGGTATTGTATTAATCATAATAGGATAGACTGCGCGTCGCGTGAAACTAAAAATGCTATTGTCAGAAATGCGTATGTATTAGGTGTGGGAAAAAATTCGTGGCGTTTTTTTAATGCTATCTAACGGGAAAAACGCCACGAACTTTTTCTCACACCTAAATCGTTCTAGAACTTTACCATATGTATAACATTAAATTTTTTGGAATCCACGACCTATACGCTCTTGCTTTTTTTCTTAATTTACATCTTATGTTGTCAATTTTTACTGATATCAAGAATCTTCACTAATTTGTTATACAAACCGAAATGGTCCCTTGTGAATAGCGAACACTACTAGAGTCACTCTAGTAAGAGTCGAGACACAAAACCGGAAGGATGCCATATTTCTTATCGGAAATAATTCTTATTCTTCTTTCATAAATGACATCTGCCTTTCCTCGGAAAAATAAGAAGGGGATCAAAATTAGATTGGCGATAATTATTTTAAGATAATTGATTTAGACCGAAGCGAAAAAATGTCCGTTCCGACGTCATCATCTTAATAAAGTGATACTACATTTATAAAAATTGCTCTTGCCTTGGTGAAAATTTTTCTTAGAATTTTTCATATAATTTTTCAGAATTTCTATATATAATTTTATAATTTTCTCAGATTTTTTATACAAATTGAAACATTTTTCAAAAAATTACATCTTTTCTCAGAATTTTTCATATATGTTAATTATGAAATATCGTAAGATTTCTAAATTTTTTGTAATAATTTCTGATGAAATGTTATAAAATCTAAAAAATTTAAAAATATTTTTTTTTATTATGGGATGAGAAATTTCAGAATATTTCAGAATTCACTTGTATGAAAAATTCTAAGAGAAGATGTAAACTTTCCAAATATTTTGAGTATTTCTGAAAAATATCCAATTCGTATAAAAATTATGAGAAAAAGTTTCACCAGGATATTTATTCATTTATATTCACTAACACATTAACAAATTGAAATAAGGCGGCATCAATCATGAAGAGGAACTGCTTATGTCTCGACTCTTACTAGAGTCTCTCTTACTAGAGGACCTGCGCATAATAGAACAAATATTAGAAACAAGAATAAATATTAAGATTTCAATCTATCAGATATCAGTTACACCGGAATACACAGGTTTTTAATAGGTTAAAATCTTAATATTTATTCCTATTCTTAATATTTTCTCTATTGTGTATAAGGCCTAACTCTAGCGAACATTAGCGATCATATAATTTTTTTTTCTCTTTAAAGAAAAAAATTACATGATTTGTAATTTTTTTCATATAATTTTTCAGAATTTCTATATATAATTTTATAATTTTCTCAGATTTTTTATACAAATTGAAACATTTTTCAAAAAATTACATCTTTTCTCATTTAATGTTCCATTTGTCATACAATTCGATTCAAATTTTGAAGGTTATAAATTAGGTGAAAAAAATCCTGTATTTTTGGAGCATCTCTTTGTAGTAGACTTTGCTCAAAATCTGTCTTTTTCAAATTTGGCCATCTGATCTATTTAATTTAATTATAAAAACATTGTCTTTATGTTTAAATAATAGGAGAAGAAACGGTAATAAAACTGCATGATCCTAAGCATCAAGAAAATAAGCTTGATAAAGTGATCTTATTTTATGCGTCTCTCCATCGATTGCACATTGGATACAGAGGAAAACTCGTTTCTGCAAAGGAAAGAAAGCTGAATTTATAACTGAAGGTTCTTCTCCCTTCTCGGGAGATCTTGAAAGTTTTTGAGACGCTTCCGCTGCTAATGCGGACTTGCAACATAATTGAGCCCCTAAGCAAACATCAGAGGCATAGCGATTTCTCATTAAAGAGTCTATCTTTCTTTTTCTCTTTCTCGAAGTCGCATTCACGTTGGACAGTTTTTACATATTGTATTAAGTAAGAGACGCGCATGTGTATATTTTAGATATAAGTACATCTGCTAAGCGTTATATATATATAATAAGTCTATTTTTTCGTAATTATTACACGATTAGTAGTTATTTATTAGTAGTTATTTATTAGTAGATATTTATTATCATAGATGACTTCTATTCTTCGGATTATTTTATCTTTGTCGATCTCTGTTTGCTGATTTGATGGGCACATTATTCTCACAATAACGACACATTTATTAATGTTATTGTATTTCTTAATTTTTTTTATTTTTTGATAATCGATATGGAATCGAATGTTAAATTGACCAAGAAATCTAAGCGAACGTTTTCAGTAGCTTGGCTCTCGGATGTGCGATACAAGTCATGGATACGAGAAGTACCATCTGATAATACTCTTTATTATTGCACTGTATGCGATAAAAGTTTTTCGTGTGGTTCAACACATATCTCGAGACACGCGGAATCTGCGCATCATAAAAATAATAGTAATAAGGATTGCAGTAGCGATGATGATAGTTTTTTAGAAAAAAAATCTCGTAGATCCATATTTCAACAGAAATGGTTGGATAGAGCGGAATTTAAAAGTTGGTTACGCGAAGTGCCACACGATCCAAGTTTATTTTTTTGTTTAATGTGTGACAAATCTGCTGCTGGTGGTTTATCGCAAATTATTCGTCACTCAAAATCCAAAGCACATATAAATAAAGATAAAACTAATTCTATTGAAGTAAGTCAATTGAATAACAATTCGCAATCGAATGATGATACGCAGGCTACGCATAATCGGGCTACGCAAACTGAATTGCTTTCATCGTTTGAAGAACGTAAAAAATCCGCAGAAATTAGATTTGCTGCATTCATTGCCGATAAAAATATTCCCCACCAAAATGCAAAAGAAATTCTTAGTTTCTTCCGACATGTAGGAGAAGATCCTAACGTGTTGAAAGCCATGAGTATGGGTCGTACCAAATGTAAAAACATTATTACAAATGTTTTGTGCCCAATCGAGACGGAACGTGTGGTCAATAAAATTCAGAACACAAAGTTTACGATATTCATCAATGAAACGTCTGACAATGAGAAATGGATGACTTTTCTCGTTCGTTATGTTGATCCGGACACATTAGACATTCGATCACAACTAGTTAAACTAATTGACATTGATGCCAAAGATTCCAATGCGGAAAAATTGTTCCTTGCATTTAAATGCGAAATGTGGAAGTTACAGATATTGTTTTTAAATATTGTCGCCTTGTCGTGTGACAGTGCGTTTACCATGACAGGAAAACATTTATTATTCAAAGAGAAATTAGAAGAAGAATGCCCGCATTTGTTAACATTTTCCTGTCCCTGTTATGCTACCATGTTAGCAGCTCACGCTGCATGCAATGAAATACCCATAGCTTGCGAGGAATTTATTATAAGAATTGGCGATTATATTAACTGTAGTCCAAAATGTTCATCTGTTTTTTCTGAATTTTGTGAATATTTCCAAGAAAATAATAATAGACTATCACGATTAAATGATACACGTTGGCGTTCTCACTACTTATGTATAAAAAAACTTTTGGAATCTTGGGATACAATTAAACATTTTCTTAATCAAATATCTGTGAACGAGAAAACAAGAGCTGAAGAATGTTTGTTGTCTATGATGGATAATATAGAGTTAAAAGCTTATTTCCTGTTCTTAGAGTACATATTACATTTCTTCAATAAATTCAATACATTTTTTCAAGCATTAGATACGCGAATACATATTTTGCAGCCCAAATCTTTAAACTTTCTTGTTCAAATCTGTCAAAATTTTTTAAAAGAGAAGTATTTAAAACCTTTCTCTAAAAATGTAGTATTTTCTTTACAGGAGAATCAAAAAGATCTATATCAAATTACATTGGGATTAGAATGTGAAAAATATCTTCAGAAATTAATGGAGCATGGACACGAAGACGAAGTTGAAACAATTCGAAAGAACTGCTTAAAGTTTTATGTAACTACTGCAGAAAACATTCGTAAGACGTTGCCTGTAGACAATGAGTTTTTATCGAAATTACAAGTTTTTAAACCTTCCTTACATTTATTCGATAATGATAGAGAAACATCATTCGCCGATGTTTCTTTTATAGCTCAAACTATTGGCGGTTTTGACGAAGATGGTTTAAAAAAGGAATGGGTTGCACTGTCATCAGATTTTACAACAAACGAGAAACAAGGTCTCTCTAAATTAAATTTCGACAATATGTGGAAAAAAATTTTACGATCTTCTTATCCAAATAATATGGCCAAATATCCAAATCTAATAAATATTCTAAATGCTATTCGATCACTTCCCAATTCAAACAGCGATCCGAAGACAATGGTTTCCATTGTGTATGATTTAACTTCGAAAAAACGCAATAAACTTTCGGCGGCTTCGGTTAATGCCATTTGCGTTTTTAAATCTGCATTGAAAGCAAGAGGAGAAACATCAATGAATATGACGATCGAAGAAAAACATTTATCACTTATGTCATCAGACAAATTATATGCTAGTGCTACTAAAGAGACTACATTATGTGAGACTGTATTATAAATGACTACTGATATGCTTTCTAAGCGACACAATCTAATACAATGAATCATTATGATATTATTTTATCATTTGTCAATGTTAAACAAAGATGAAATGATCATTCACATCACATGTCATACTGTCGCTTGCTGGAAAGCACGCATAATTATTATCATTGTAACTAGTATACATTAAGGAAATGTTTGGTATAAGCGCGTGAAATATACAACAAATGATATTAGATCATATGTGAATAACACAATTAATTACGAAATTTACGCTTTCAAGACATAGTTATAATCGCGTTATAATGGATCATCATTATACTGAGTATAATTTAAATGATTGAATTCTTATTTGGATATCCAGCTAAGTACAACAGACGATAATGAAGTTCTTAATTTTGAACAACAGCCTAATAATGATTCATGACAGCATTCGCCTATTGTTTTACAATGTATCAATTCCGATAATTTTATTATTACACTGAAGAGGACCTAATCTTATGATCGAAATGTCTGTAATTAGTGATTGACATATATTATTTTTTATTACACATATATAACTGTTGTCAGCTCTCATTAGCTTTATATTCCTTTATTGATTTAATCTTTGAAGCCTTTTTCAATTTTAATTGTTAATTTTTAATAATATTGTTAAACATTGAGATCTAGCTAGGCCGAATAAGACATTTTTCTACTTAATTGTGTTATTCATATATCGGTCTATTGTTTATTCTTTTATATAGTTATTATTATTACTTATGTTAAGTGTTAGATTATTAAAATGTCAATAAATATAAATATGTAGAATATGAATTGTAAAAGTTATATGCAACAGATTACTAGTGACGAATTTTTTTTATGAAATAAATTCTTTGCTCTTATTGTATATATACGTGATGTATATATGTGATGTAAGTTATATCAGGAAAGTAACACGTTAACATTTGTAATACTGCTTTTGTTACTTTTTTTCGATGATATTAATTTTTTTTCTATCTGCGATAACGATGTTACGTTTTTATAGTAATGCTTTTTACGGTAATGAATTCAGCCGTTAATTTGATTGTTTCTGTAATCCTTTATTATTTTTGTAATTATTTAATAGATCGCACTAATTTTAATTGACTAGAAATATTTTCTAATAGAAATTTTAATATTAAAAAATAAAAATTTTATACTTCAATGTCTTAGGTTGTATTGCGATAATCACTCCAATATGCCAATACTGAAAAATCTATATTTTTCTCTTAACGACATTAATATTTAAAAATAATGTTTAGTAAAAATTTTTAATAAAAATCTGCATTTGTGTAATTAAAATCTAGTTTTTTTTAAAGATATAAGCATAAAAAATAATGTATTTGTAAAAAGTATTGTTTACTATAAAAATTGATTATCTGTGATTCATTAGATATGTTTAATATAAAGAAATGCTTGCTATATAAAGATTAACTTAGAATATTAAATTTCAATTTTTTAAAAATTAGTATTGATTATTAAGGAAATCCTAAAGTTTCATTTTGTTTTACCACGATTATTACGTTTTTATAAATCTTGAATTGACTTTATGACTTGCAAACTTTTTTCTATAGAATTAAAAAAAAATACATAAAAAGAAATCTCGCAAAACATGATTTTAAGAGAAAATAAAAAAAAATTAAAAACCACTTTTTCTGGCACAACTATCACTTGAGATTAACATAATTAATTGCTTGATATAAAAATTGTAATTAATTGCTTGATATAAAGCTTGTATAGATTGAAAATAAACATGAGGCGGGATTCAAATTGAACGAACAATACTGAGTTTGTGTCAAATTCAAAGCGTAGAAAAAAATATTTCTCCCAATACGAAATTACGCTTTGCAAGAGTTTACTTTTTTCCTCTATTACAGATTCGAAAATTTTTTTTCAGGCTTGATCCTTAATACTCTCCTTTGGGTTATTTATATTCTGCGCATTTTTTTTCTTTGAAATACTAAGAGCACCTGATCAAATACCAGTCTCTTTTCTATTCTTAAAAAAAAGTTTGACATCTGGAGAACAAATTTAGTGCGTTGCTGGTCTCAATTCATATGTATTCTTTAACTAGAATAACTCCGAAGTTCACCTCTGGATCACAAATGATCTATCATGTGTACATAGCGTACATTTTTTGTACTACTAACTAAAAAAATTTTTAATTTTTTTCTTTATCTTTAGCTAATTCTCATTTGTATTGCAGGAATATTTTGCGACTTATTAAAAAAGAATTTAACTCTAACAATATATTAGCCCTTAATAAATATTTTTGGCATCCTTATTGTGTTAAATGTCTGTAATATTATTGTATTATGTTTGTATATTATAAAAAACATTTTCCTAATACATTATAAGTTTTTTTAACACATAGCAATAATAAAATGCATTACTTAAAATGTAAATGCAATATATTTTTAATTTATAGCCATTTATGCATATTAAAAAACATCATTTTCAAGTTAATAACTAAATTTTTTGGACAGCTGATAATTGAACTATTTTTTCTTTTGTAGTTTGGTATGCTAACTTTAAGATATGGAAACATATTTTTCCTTTGAACATTTTTGTTTCAGAGTTTTATAGTTTTGTATGAAAAAGTACATTTTTCTCATTTGTTAACCATATTTAGTTGTAACAATTTATATACAATTTATATAATTTATATACAATTTGTTATAAATATATAATTTTACAAATTTCTAAAAATTTTTTTATATATATATATATACACACACACTTTAATGGATAAGGAATCTGTAAAAGAGGAAAAAAAATATACAAAAATTATGATTTAGTCGATAATATAGATTTATGCCCGTATCAGACTAAAGATTATGATTTGTAAAGATAAACAAGCATAAGCAAAATACAAAATATTGTAACTTAGGAAATGTTAGAAAATTTTATTTTACATGTACATACTTATTTATATTTTACAAAATTCGCAAAATGCTGAACAAAATTGACGAGAACTCAACGTGATCGCTAATTGTAAACAACAATACGCTATATAAGAATGATTTAAAAAAAAAAAAATTTGTGACATTCTCACATTCGACATATTTGAAACGTCGTCAATAAATTCATTACGCAGATTACAACATTGTTGCGGGCATGAGATTGATTTCTTTTAGCGAGTTTTCATTTTGTTTTTGCGAAGTTAATTTCAGTTATCTTTGCAAAATCACAATATCTCTCACACTCTCTGAAATTGACAAAAGAATTTCGCGTGAATTATTACAATGCGCGAGGTAATTTGAACGACTGAACACAATCAGGTGAATTTATCACTTACACGAAGTACTAAGTTGTCAGAAATTGCTCCTAGATAACTCTAGGCTATAGTTCATTTTACGTAAATTATAGCAAAAGTGCACTAGAGTTATCTGGGCGTAATTCTTCCCTAAAAGCATAATACAATTGATTCAAGACTGAGTAATACAATTGACTTGACTGAGAAAAAGAATTGTTGGAATATTTCATCAAAATATGTAATTATAAAATATATGGCAAGTTTTTATGCAACAACATATCGATGATATTCATTTCTCATTGCATTATCTCTTTGAAGAAAACTTCAAGTGCCATACGCTATCTCAGCGTGTAGGTGTCTCCCTCTCATATATTTTTGCGCGCACACTGATCGTACTTAATAGGTTTGTTCGTGTCGCATGCTCTAATATGCTCTAAAATGCTCCTATCATAACATTTATTCACTTTAACGCGCTCGTTGAAATCAGTAGAAGCTATAGCAAGAGCACATTGGAGCATGCTGAAACATGCGACGCGAACAAACCTATATAGGGACCTACAGTTTAAATGCTGATTCCGAACGACAATTAATTTTCGATAAGGAGATTTCCTGATCAAGTATACCACTCAGTGATTTGTCACTGTCTTTTGAGAGGAATTACGAGTGTAAAAATTTTTCTGTCGGGGATCGAATTCGAAAACTCTTACAGTATATTAGAGTGCGCTATCTACTATATCGCTCGCGCTCTTGAAGAAAATAGACGGAATTAATTTTTGAAGCAGCCAGCTTTGCTCGCCTTAATTATGTTTTTCATCAAATTCTGATCTAGCTTCGCGAAATTTTCCGTTTCCACTATAGTCGTCATGTGACCAACAGCGAGCTGGACGCAGAATTCTTCGAGCTCCTAAAAAATTGTCAACAGCATTCAATTATTGTACGTATGTAAATTTATACGCAATGAAATGTTAATAAATGTTAAAAATGACAACGTTTGACTACCTGTGTTATACTTCACTGCAATGCTATAAAAGTAGACGACGTCCGATACAGTAATTCCTTGCTTTATTATACGAATGCACTATTTCTTGAGATTGTTCTCAAAGTAAGCGTTGGCCAAATCAAAAAGTTCTGTTAACAAAAAATATTGCTTCAATTATTTGGCACATTCAGCGGATTCAACAGTTGAATGAGTGTGTTACTATTGGTATATTTTTTCAGATCTGAAAATCTGATTGGATGATATAGAAAAATATACAATATCAACGAGCTCATTCAAATGTTTAGTCCGTTGAATACACCCGATGAATATTTAGGCCAATAATCACTCATGATAGACTCGACTTACCTGATATATTCTCAAAGATTAAATCGACTATATTGGTGTGTAAGTACTTCAGATATGCTTTGTAGACAACATAGGAAAATGTATGTGTTAATCTTGATGACATTGGAAGAGAATGACGACAGCATGAATAAAAACTTGAGAAATTTAACATAAATAACATTGATATTTGTTAAACAATTACCTTTGATTGTTGATTCGGCCCAATCATGCTTAAACATGTTTTTGAAGTGTAAAGAACGAATTTTCAAGATAGCCTTGTGCACATAGATACATTTGCCCTCCACCTGTATTTTGAGATCGCTCGTCAACTATGTCACAAATGAGAGAAAAAGTCAATGACAAATATATGCCGAATTTTAGTTTGGTACATAAAATAATGTTACATTTATCTGAAAAA